GTGGCGCTGTGCGATAAAGCACTGGGCCACGAGGTCAATTTGAACCGCAAGGTTGGCAGTTCAAACTCACCAGCCGCTCCTTGGGAACCCTATACAGGATCGCTAAGAGTCAGAAACGACTTGACAGCATTTCTCAACAAGGACACCATGTCACTCACCTTCCCACTCGTGTCCATCACTGCCCTTTGATGGACACTTGTGCATTTTAATGTATTTAAATTTGTCAGCCTCTTGCCTTATGTCTTAACCCTTAAATTTTTTTCCCCTGATTCCCAATTTGCTTATACTTTCTTGAAAGTATTATTTTATATTTTCACCTTTAAAACTTTACATAGAGAGTACTTGTGAATAGATTAATGATCCCATTAGAGTCGGTTCAACTCATAGCAACCCTGTGTGGGTTTCCGAGGAGCGACTGGTGAGTTTGAACAGCCGACCTTGCGGTTAGCAGTGCAGAGCTCATCTTACAGCACCACGCAAGAACTCTCAGTGTTGTTGTAAAGTGCCGTCGAGTCACTTCCATCTCATAGCGACCCTGTGTAGGGTTTCCGAGGAGCGACTGGTGAGTTTGAACTGCCAATCTTGCAGTTCACACTGACCTTGCGGCCCAGGGCTTATCCTATAACACCACACCAGGACTCCAGAACTCCCATGAGAACGATTTCTGTTAAATGGCATCGAGTCAGTTCAACTCATAGCGACCTTGTGTAGGGTTTCCGAGGAGCAGCTGGTATATATGAACCGCTGACCTTGTGGTTAGCAGTCCAGTGCTTATCCTACAGTGCCACACCAGGACTCCATGGGGGGGGGCGGGCGTTGTGTACCACCTAGTCGGTTCTGACTCAAAGCAACCCTGTATAGGGTTTCTGAGGCTGTAAATCTTTACAGGAGCAGAAAGCGTCATTTTTCTCCCACGGAGTGATTGGTAAATTTGAGCTGCTCACCTTGCACGGAATTCACTATACTACCAGGACTCCTGGTTGTTGTTATTTTTAAATCTACTGGTTACGTTATTTGGTCATCATTGTTAATTGCCATCGAGTTGGTTCTGACTCATAGCAAACCTATATAGGAGTCCTGGTGTGGCACTGTGGGTTAATGCACTGGACAGCAAGGTCGGCGGTTCAAACTCACCAGCTGCTCCTTGGAAATCCTATACAGGGTGCTATGGATCGGAACCAACTCAAAGGCACACAACAACAACAACAACAACATAGGGTTTCCAAGAAGTGACTGGTGGTTTGAACTGACGATCTTGCCGTTCAGGTTGACCCGGACCTCACAGCCTGCTGGTACATTTCCCTCCCGTGTACCAGCGCCGCAGCAGGACGCCTTATTAGATCATTTATTGTTGTTAAGTGCCGTCAAGTCGTTTCTGACCATCATAACCCTATACAGGGTTTCTAAGGAGTGGCTAATGAGTTTGAACTGCTGAACTTGCAGTTCAAACCGAACAAAGCACTGCCCAGTCCTACGCCAGCCTCACAATTGTTGCCTCGTTTCAGCCCATGGCTGCTGCCACTGTGCCAGTCCATCTCATTGGGGGTCTTCCTTGTTTTTTTGCTGACTCTCCTTCTGATAGTATGTCCAAAATATGAGAGAGAAAGCCTTGCCATCCTGGCTTTTAGGGGGCCCCCTGGCTGCACTTCTTCCAACACAGATCTGTTGGTTCTTCTGGCAGTCCATGGAACTTTTAATATTCTCCTCCAACACCATAACTCAAATGCATCAATTCTTCTACGGTCTTCCTTAGTCACTGTCCAGCTTTCACATGCATATGAGGTTATTGAAAATACCATGGCTTGGGTCAGGTGCACCTTAGTCCTCAAGCTGACATCTTTGCTCTTCAACACTTTAGAAAGGTCTCGTGCAGCAGATTTACCTAATGCAATACGTCGTCTGATTTCTTGACTGTTGCTTTCATGAGATTTGAGGATTGATCCAAGCAAAAAAGCAAAATGAAGTCTTGGGTAACTTTAATCTTTTCTCCATGTATCTCAATAATTGGTGGTGGTAGTTATGTGTCGTGGAGTCGCTAAATCTTTGTGGGAGCAGAAAGCCTCACCTTTGTCCAATGGGATGGCTGGTCGTTTCCAACTGCTGTAAAGAGTTGATTCTGAGTTATGGTGCCCTGTGTGATTTTTGCATTTCCAAATGCATTGTGTGCGTTGGAGTCCTCGAGGATGATGCCACTGGCTGGGATTTAATGGAAGTGCCTAGAAACAACAGTCTGCTCCTAACTGCTTTCTCAGAGCCTGCTATACGTCTTTGTTTATTTCAGTCTAGCAGAATGCCCTTGAATATTGTTTAATGCATTCTTCATTAGAATTTCTTATTTATTTATACTACTTTTAGTTACCTTTTAGTGTTAGTAAAATATGAAGGGACTTCCTTCTAAAAGTTTGTGGAAAATTTCATTGTATTTCAGTCCCATTTTCCATCAACTTTTTGAAGCCCCCTAGTATATGTTATCTTTTTAAATGTTAATTTCTCAACTACTTGGTACTGGTGTGTATATAAATGAAACATTTAAAGTCAACCTTTCTATTTTGTTAACATGAAGATTTGCTAAAGTGTCTCAGCCCTATAATCTTCTCTGCCATCCTTTCGGTCCTACGTATTCAGTTATGGAATCTATTAAATAAATACAGACAAGCATTCATTTGATTTTGGTCTTTACCTTCTTTGCTTCCTTGGTCTTCGTTGGCACGTACCAGCTCATCTTTAGGGAACTGTTGGAACGCAGTGTACTACTGGGTGCCATTGTTTTCTGTCAGCTTTACTAGGACCTTGTGGAGCTTCCCAGTGTGTACGATACCTTGGGATATATGTTTTGTGTGGACCTGTTGTTAGATTGTACATGATTTTTTCCCCCATTTCTGAATTTGAGACGTGTTTCTGACACAGAGCAGAAACATTGGGAATAGATGTACAGTTGATTGATACATAAAGGGAACGTCCGTCTTAGAGGCTGGTAACTCCCGCTGTGTCCCTTCAAGAATTGGGTTTTCATTGGTCTTTAATTTTTTTACTCTGCCCTTTAGATGTAATAAGTGTCTTGGCATGTATGCTCATCATTTACACTTTGATCACCTCTGTGTTACTGTTGTCGTGTGAGGGGGTTCTGAATTGCTTTGATGTAAGTTGGCTTTTCAAGCCTGTGTACAGCGGATTGAAACACTGCCTGGGCCTGCACATCCTCACGAGTGTTGTTGTGTTTGTGCCCATTGGTGCAGCCATTGTGTCAGTCCATCTCATTGGGGGGGGAGGGGTCTTCCTCTTTTTCACAGACCCTCCACTTTACCAGGCATAATAGCCTTCTCCAGGGACTGGTCCCTCCTGACAGCATTTTTAAGGTACGAGAGAGCATATCTCGCCATTTTCACTTTGAAGGAATATCCTGGTGTGGCATTGTAAGATAAGCACTGGACTGCTAAACATAAGATCAGCAGTTCAAACCCACTAGCTGCTCCTTGGAAACCCTATACAGGGTCGCTATGAGTTGGAACTGACTCGACAGCACTTAACAACAACAACAAGTTCAGTGTAGTGGTTTTTGTGTTATAAGCAAACAGATGGATACTTTTGATCCCTTTAGAATCACTTTAGGAAACCTGTTCCATGGGCTGTTAGTTCACTCTAACTGCTCAGGAGTGTTCTTTTGTAGGAATATACTGATTTTGTCTCCTTCTTCCCTTTAATGTCTTCTCATTTTGGTCGCAACATGCTGTGGAGCATCCGCTCTATAAACCTGCTTCCATTTCCAGCATCCATCCACCTGTGAGTCGATGGCTTACCACCTGTCTCTAGTCTCTAGTGCAGCTGTGTAATCCCTCAGTGGGCGCCGCTAACAAGCAGACGTCTGATCTCTCACAGTGTAGGAGCCTAGAGGTGTGAATTCAGAACACCAGTACGTGGGAAAGACCTTCTCTGTCGGCTCTTGTCTCTTTTCACCTTGTTCCTTCTTGGCTTCTTAGTGAATTAACCCAGTATGCATACTTAGTATTCGGGAGTGAACAATTTCCCA